AAGGTTGTGGAGAAAGGGGAACCCTCCTACACTGCTGTTGGGAATGGAAATTAGTTCAACCATTGTGGAAAGCAGTATGGAGGTTCCTCAAAAAACTCAAAATAGAAATACCATTTGACCCAGGAATTCCACTTCTAGGAATTTACCCTAAGAATGCAGCACTCCAGTTTGAAAAAGACAGATGCACCCCTATGTTTATCGCTGCACTATTTACAGTAGCCAAGATACAGAAGCAACCTAAATGTCCATCAGTAGATGAATGGATAAAGAAGATGTGGTACATATACACAATGGAATATTATTCAGCCATAAGAAGAAAACAAATCCTACCATTTGCAACATGGATGGAACTAGAGGGTATTATGCTCAGTGAAATAAGCCAGGCAGAGAAAGACAAATACCAAATGATTTCACTCATATGTGGAGTATAAGAACAAAGAAAAACTGAAGGAACAAAACAGCAGCAGAATCACAGAACCCAAGAATGGACTAATAGTTACCAAAGGGAAAGGGACTGGGGAGGATGGGTGGGAAGGGAGGGAAAAGGGCGGGGAAAAAAAAAGGGGGCATTACGATTAGCATGTATAGTGTTGGGGGGGCACAGGGAGGGCTGTGCAACACAGAGAAGAGAAGTAGTGATTTTACAGCATCTTACTACACTGATGGACAGTGACTGTGAAGGGGTATGTGGGAGGGGCTTGGTGTAAGGGGGAGCCTAGTAATCATAATGTTCTTCATGTAATTTTAGATTAATGATACCAAAATTTAAAAAAATTAAAATTAAAATTAAAAAAAAATCACTGATAACATTTTGGTTCATTTCTCAAACTATAACAACATACCTACCGTTCAATGGCACGAAGCTTCACTTTATTCATATCCTTTAGAACATCCATCATGTTTGGAACATCTTTACTTTTCTTGTTTTTTGAACGACAACTATAATTGGTTTTACTAGCACCTGGGTGCTGCTTTTTCAGGCCAGCTGCTGAATTATCTGAGTCACAGATATTGTCAGATACTGGTTGTACGAGAAGAGAACATTGAGGCTGCAGAGCAGAAAACTGAGGCGGCAGGGGTGGAGGAGGAGGACAGAGAAGAGCTGAACCTGATAGCAGATCTGGCCCGACACTTGACTGAGCAGTCGCTGATGATGGCAACTGTCCCAAACCACTAGGCCCATCATTCAAGTCAAGGAAGCCTAAAAACAAGTAGTCTGCTGAAAAATCATGCAAAATTCTCTCCAACATAACACTAATTAGAACCAAAACAGGAACAATTTTCATAATGCTATGAAAATAATATGGTAGCCAGGAAGGAGACGCAATCTCATCTGTTTAGTAATTTCTATAAATCAAGCTAAATAATAAATTTGTTTTTAATCCAATTAGGATTATCTGTGTAGGCCCTTAGAGGGAAGAAAGGAGAGAACGCATTTTAAAAATAAAATAAAAAGTGCTTTTTCAGTAATTCACATACAATTTGAATTTCATTCTCTATTTAAAAAAGCTAAAACATGATCACCAGCTTCTAGTTAGAAACACTCAAACTGGTATATTCACTCTATGAAGACACTGTAGAAACACCCAAGCATAAATTTTCTAGGCAAGAGCCCAAGATAACTACTGAATATTTAACTTTTTCATAATGGATTTGCTCCTAAAAGGCTGTGTGTAACATGATTGCTTAAAAAATGTGTGTATATCTCATTTTAATTATTATTATGCAGTAATACAAATATAATATTTATACATTATAAATACACAAAACTAGATAAATATTTTATTATATTTAAATTGTATGTGTGTAATGGATATATATACATATATATTATATTTGCATATATGAGTATTGTTTAAAGCAAGTCATGTCTCGAAAAATTTAGAACAGGATCATACAGAAAACATCATTCACCTGATTTGGTAGAAGTACAGCAGCAATAACTTCAAACTACTAATATATAAAGAGTCATACTTAAACTCTTCTTTCAAATTAATGCATTCTTCCTCTTAAATTTCCAGTGCTTTACAAAGGACTAGAAAGGCTTACTCAGAAAACAGCCTTTTTTTAAATACAAAAGTACAAGCTTTGGTAGCATAGATAGCTCTTTAAACCAAAGCCATCCCTCTCACCACAAATGTGTCTTAATTTATTCTAAATAAACATTAGGCATAATTTTATATACCCAACATCCTTTTATATTTAATGTCATTCACCAGATACACTAGCATCAAAGATTCTTATTCAGAACTGACTTAAATACTAGATGAATACCATCTAAAGGAAACAAAAATCCAGTATGTTACTTACCAGCATTTGTACTGTTTTTCAGTTCCTGCATTTCCACAATTGCAGCAATCTGAGAGCGAAGAAAAGTTAGCTCATCTTCAAGGGCAGCAATTTTTTTAATTGCAGCTTCACTTACGGGCTGATCATTTTTCATTGGTTTATTATGTCTTACAGCAGGTGACAGTGGATCCCAAACTAATTGCAAAGAATTGAGAACTGCATTTTTCTCCTCTTCTTCATTTTTCTGTATACTGTTTCTTTGGGTTCAGGGAAGAAGTGGAGAGGGAGAAAAAGAAAACGAAGGAGGGAAATTTTCCAAGAGAAATTAATTATTTCCATTAAAGAGGAATAGAGACAACTAAAGAAAATCAGAGTGGCTCTCTTTATCCCGTGACTGTCTCTACACTCACTGAGAACAAGCCCAAAATTCTGTGTTACTCTGAATCCTCAACAGAATGTTGCCTTTAATAGGCAACCAATAAGTGGTCAGTCAGTGAAGGAACAACTCTTGCTTTCAGATTATAAAACAAAAATAATTATCCAATAACAGTTTTACCTATTAGCTTTAAACAGTCAAATTAATTTATTTAGAAATAAAGTTGATTTATTTAGAAATTCTACATAATCTAAATAAAAGATAGGGAATTGAAGGTCCTTATATTCACTGTTATTTTATGGGTAAGTTATGGTATTCTAACTTTTAAAAAATTGATAAACAAGTTTGATACATAATAAATTTAATGAGAATATTGTAATAATTAACCTTTATTGTACATACAGCCTGTATCTGATATACTAATACCTAAGTTAGTACTCTCAAGCAGTAATAGATCCAAATTTTGAATATATTCAACAGCAATACCAGGCACACTATAAATACTATACAAGTTTTGGCTAAATGTATAAAGTAAATCCAGTATCTAGAATAGGAAACAGCTTTCTCCTAAAAATGAACATAGTGATTCCGATATCCTTTTAATATGATTCCTTCCTAGGCCTGGTGTTAGGTTTAAATGTACAGGAAGGAAACTTGGCTAAAAATGAGAAACAACAAGTCATGCTTATTAGGAAGATACCAGTAGGACACAGGCAGTGCCCAATGAAAAGGGATTAGTTACTATGAACAAACTTCAACACATGTAACAATTCAGATTACAGACCATACCGTACTTTCCAAGACAAGAACATAACATTACCGAAATCTGAGATAACTGGCTTCTTCATCATTTGCCACACACAAAATATCAGCAAAAGATGGAACTACAGACCCACAGCTAGTAGAGTCTCCAGAGTTCAATAGTGGGATCAACTAAAGTAAAAAAGAAAAAAAAAGTCAAAGCTCAGCTGGGAGTTGGGGGAAGACAGATGTCCAGGGAAATTAAGTCAGTTAAAAACCCAAAGGCATGAAAAGGAAAAAGGATGTTCAATAGAAAAACACACACCTATTAGCAAGAAAAAACACTGAGGAAAGTATTATTCTAAATTCTAAACATGTAGCAATATTCTCTCCCTGGTTAATGTCATCTATCATAAAGCACAAACTAGAATAAAACAAGCTATGCAGGTATTGCTTTTCACCTGCCTATCTTTGAATGTAATTACTTAAATAAACACAAAAATATGCCCCAAATGACTTGTCTCCAAGAATAAACTAAAGATTTCTGTCTTGCAGGAAATGCTTCTTCTTTTGTTCTATTCTATATCTCCAGGAAAGCCTAGGATTATTTCATACACAGTGCTTAAACAATGCATTCTGACTGACTTACCTCAAAATTAGGCCTTGCACAAGGTTCTAAAGGCAGAATTTTCCCAATAATACGAACAATACTCCGAGCTGATCCATAGTCTTTATTTTCCCAAATCTGCAAAGCCTGTTTAAACATAAAGCCCTGTTTTATAAGTACTCTATTAAGCATGTTTATATATTTGTGAAAAAAAGAAGATAAAAAGATGCAGTAACATCTTTTTAAAAAATACATAGAATGCCATACTCTTAAAAGGGGAGGATGGAATTAACATATATATTTCCAAGAAGAAAGATTTTTTTAAGATAGCACCACAAATTCATTTTGTTCTATATCTCATAATGGCCAAATACCTTGGGAAACTATTCAGAAAAATTTCCTCCCTCCCCTCAGTTGATAATCCCATCATTTGGCCCAAAGATTGACAATTTCAATTTCTCAAGCAATGGGGTAATGCAGAGGATATTCACGCAATTTCTTTAAAGAAGACATAAAGAGGGGAAATTAAGGAATCAGGCCTTAGGCAATTTAAGAATTCTTTACTTACTGTAGAATGTCCTTGCTAGAAGTTAGTTCTTAAAAAGCTAATTAAAATGAAATGGGCTACTATAAATTTACTTTGTCCTTTAGCTTGCGCCTCCCACACTGGCATAAACTATTCCCACAAGAACCTCCCCAAAAATATGACATAACATTTGCTCACTGGCCAGAGATTTCCACAGGAAGAAAGCATTTTCTCTCTTTAAAGAGAATTAAAAATTAGATTTTTCATTTTTCCTAGGATACCATAACAAGGACAAGTTTACTACAGGTGACAGACATAGATAGCATTCTATTAGCATCCTCATGGAAATATCTAATAAGCAAATGAATATACAGTTCTAGAACTCAGGAGAAAATCTGGGATTAGAAATTTTCATCCTGACAAAAACCTCTGTCCTGTCTCATTCCTTTACTCCATTGACCATCCTCATCGTTCTTATAATTTCACCTCCTTCTTCTCTTCCTAGACCAGCACCCTAATTTTGACTTCACTGACTTTCCTACCTCATAGGAATTTTCAAGCTGTTTCAACGATATGCTCATTAGCACTCAAAAATGATTCATCCTATTGATATTATGTGTTCTCTTATTACTAATGGATAAACTACCCCAACCACTGGAGAGAAAAAAAGAATGCAACTATTTAGAAAGACTACACATTGATGCTGACTTCAACTGGGTATTCTATACAGGTATTCTGCAACCCCTTCATAACATGTTTTGTTCTCCACTGTGTCACTCAAAGCAATGCCAATCTCTGAAATCCCCAATGCCATCATTTACATTACCTGCTCTTGGGAAAACCAAAGACTCCAATTTGACATACCTCAATTTTCATTTCTTTCCATTCGAAATTTTCTCCACCATATCTCACTTTTAGTCTACTCTTGACTGCCTATCTTCTTTCCAAAGCTTATTTGTTTATATCCTCTGCCCACCTACTTTCTCCAGGGCATTGTTCTCTTAATCTTAGGGAGAGGCAATCACTCTCTCATTTTATGTTAAATCTTTTCCTGTCTATGTGGTTCTTTCCCAGTACTTCCAAACATGAAGTTACCTCTCACATTGAAAAGAAGATAAAAGAAAATTTAAATCTTGTTGCCCCTTCAAGGTGATGGCCCCTTTCGATTTCTTTTCACAAACTTTTCAAAAAAAGGTGCTACTTTCCTTCCTTCTACAATATGGCTGGCTGCCTCAGAAGTTTCTAAAGACATCAATACGCTAATGATAAGCAGATCTTCAACAATTACTCAGTCCTCATTATCTTCAATCTCACTATTTCTGAAATTAATAATGCTTTAATAACATCCAGTGACATCTTCCATTGTATAATCCAAGTCCATGGATTCAAATATCAAAAGAATGCAGATAATTCAAAATCTGAATCTCTTTTCTTTCCAACATTCTAGAACAATGCATCTGATCAGCTGCAGGTTATTTGTATTTATATAATCCAACAGCACATCTTGCTCATCTTATCTGTGTACTCAAACTAGCTCCTCATACCAAGTTGTCTGTTTCTAATGGCACCATCATTCTTCAACTTACTTTTAAAATTTTGAAAATAATCCTTGACTTTCTTTCCTAATACACTATAACAAACAGCAAAGATCTGCCCATTCTTTAAGCCTCCCTATTTTGTATCCTTCTTAAATTCAGTCTTATGTTACAGTTATTTGTATGTTTCTTATTCCTCATATTATATTTTAAGCATCAGGAATACAAAAGCCATGTACCACTACTCTGCATCACCTGCAGGACCAACCATTCTGTCTTAGATATACTAGATGCTCACTGAGTAGACAAAATTGGATTCGCTTATAATTCTCAGACCTAAGTCATCCTCTTTCCTGAGGTTAATTCTGAATTTGGTTAACTATAAGTTGGCATTCTATATCCAAATGTCAAACTCTTAATTGCCTTAAATAAAATCAATATATAATTTAAAATATATTTTATCTATGAAGGTCATGTCCATATTTTGCTTCACTTGTATCTCTTGTTGACATTTTGACTTATCAGGTAAATAGGTTTCTAATCATCTTATCCCTTTTTTAACTCAAACTATCAAATTTATACCATTGCAAATTCACCATTGTTACACCTAAAAAGTAACAACTTTGCCTTAATTATTTATATAAATCATTTTCAGAATGAGACCCAAAAACAAATGCAACAGGTGCCTTCAAATTCATTTAAAGATATTTACCTGCCCAGTGGGAACACCAAAGTATTCCAGCATCTCTCTTAAAATATTCAGTATAAGTGACATTGATGAAGCATCAGAGGCAAATTCAAAGAAACATTACTGGTTTCTTGATACCTTCAGAAAAAGAAGAAATTAGAAAACATTACTCCTGACAACTGCCACATAAATTCTATTAAATAACCTGGAAGAATCCTTTTGTTACACATTACACCATCAACAAATCTCTTCTGGCCAGCATTATTTTGAAGGAAGCCAAAGAGAAAGAGGAATGGAGGACTGGAGAAGGGCCTGTAAGGGAAACTTCAATTTATCAGTGAAATTGCATTAAAAGTTCATAGAATGTTTGAGCTTACCAATGGGGGTAGTTAATAAATATCATCAATACACTAGACACATAGCACAGAAGCTTTCAAGTTAATTGCAAAAGCAAAACTCCCTCTCTTCTGAAAGCTTTTATAACAGGGGAAAACTGAATTACATCTTTGGTTTTAAAATTTAATACTAACATTAACTTGAAAATGAACTCAAGTAGCTCCCAAAACCTTGTAAGCATTAACAGGTGGCACTTTCTTTTTATCCGTGAAGGTCATGTCTATATTTTGCTTCATTTGTATCTTTTGTTGATATTTGCCCTAGCAGATAAATAGCTTCCTAAAAATCCTATCCTTTTTTTTAACTCACTATTAAAGTCATACTATTAATATTATAAATAGAGAAAATGGAGAAAATTCTCCCTATTTTCTGAGACCCAGGGTCAGAGATAATGCAGAAAGCTGATTTTGCAGAAGCCAAGACCATCCTGTCCCAGAGTACCGAGGAGAAACCGATAAGGTAAGATAAACAAAAAGCAACTGAATCTTCAAAAGAATGTCTGCTTGGATTCTTGCAATTTGCTACTTTATAAGTCTGTGGTCATGAACACCAACCACAGCCTCTCTCCCACTATTTCGCCTTTAAAAGCCCTGCTGGTGATTCAGGACACTGTCTCAGAAATCTGCCACTTAATTTGCTGGCAAGTTAATAAACTATTCCTTTCCTTTCTTCAAAACCTTGTCATTGTGTTTTGTGACTTGACTTCAGTGACAAGGACCGGTTTTCAGTTAACACTTCGGTCTGAGACTCAGGACAGGGATGGGTTTGCCCACTCTTGAATGTAGGCAGGAGGCCGACTCAAGGTTTTAGCAAAATGAATGGTAGCTCTTCCTTACAAACAAACGTATTAGGGTACTATTTAAAACAACAACAACAACTTAATTTAAAAGAATATAAACCCCAGAGAGATGACGTGACTTACTTTGCCAAATAGGTAACGGGCGAGATAAGCGCCCGGTCGTTTCACTCGCTTTTGCCGCAAGCTTCCTTGGGGGCAACTCAGCACGGTCACCTTGCTCAGCCTCCTCCGAAGCCTAGCCTTTGGCAACCACGGGAAGGTCAAGCTGCGGTCGTTAAGGAACCCCGACTGGGGATTTTGCAGCCCACGAAGTCCGCTACGCGCTCTCCTAGGTCCAAGAAAGCTCAGACATCAACCAGGGTCAGCCAGGCAGTAACGACGCCCCCAGCGACCGGGGCTGGGCCTTGGGGCCCCGCGATCAGCCCCGGCAACTCCGCAAGAGGCGCGGCGCCCTCCTCCCGCGCCCCACACACCTGCAGCTTGCTCACTCGCTACTTACGCGGCCCTGACCAAAATCAAACTCCGCGGGCCATGACCGTGCTAGATCTCATTGGGTAAGGCTGAAGATCCTGCTTGTGACTGGTTGCGGAATGACGTCAGGTCAATTACGGTTCTTTGGACAGGCTACTGGGATGGTCCTCCACGGGGGCGGGCCTTCCGCGAAGCAGCCAATCGAGTCCTATAGGCAGTTGGTGGGCGGGGCTAGCTGCGCGGGGATGACGACGCACGCGCAGAACTTAGGTTTGGTTTTTCCCCGCTGCTTTTAAATACTGGTGTCTAACGCCGAACGTTATGGAACCACTATGAGCCGGGAGCCGGGCCTGTGGTCCTGAGCTCGTTCCCCTCACAGATCCTCAAAGGTAAAGTGTGTCGCTCCTTCCACCCAGACCCATGATGGGGCCGCCCTCCTAAGTACGCTTACCGTGGAAGCTCGCAGGTTTTTATTTGATCATCCATTCGTTCACTCAGCGAACATCTTATTCTATGCTGATGGGGCTAGCCGAACTAAGCACTGCCCTCGAGAGACCTGCGTCGTAGCAGGACTTAGATTCGTTCACCAAACGTTCAGCAAACGCTCCTAGTTATCCCGACTACCAGTTATGGCCCGGACACTGACCTGACGTAACAGAATGGTAAAGTGACGGCTAAGTAGTAGCAGGTGTTACCCCAATTTACAATTCCGATCTGGGATTACTGGCTTCATTAAGAGACAACAGCTTTCTCTTCTTGTATTTCAGCAAGGGATGCACTGGAGTGACGTGACAATTTAAGATCGGCTGTTGCCTGCTAATTTACATAATATGCAATTCTTTAATTACTTTAGTCTACATCGTTTATTCACTCAATATAGAGTGTCAGACACCATTCTAAGCAGGAGGAATGCAATAATGAGCAGACCCGTAAGGTCCTTGCCCTCCTGAAGCTTACCTTACATTCTAGTAGAGACCTCTGACCACTGCATATAAATAGCAACTCTCCACTTTCCCTGACTTAACATTTATCAACATGAATATTTATGCTCCTCATACTGCCAGACGAAACTGTAAACTTCAGAACACTAACTTTGTTTTGACCCATGTTGTATTATCGCCAGTGCTTTAAAGAGTGTCTAGTATGTAATAGGCATTCAATCAGTATTTGTTGAGTAAATGGATATGGGATGAGGGATAACACACACCAAGAATGATTTGGAACTAAGCAACTGGCAGAACAATCGTGACTACAGTGACAGGCCCAATAGTCTAAGCTAGGTAAGGATGGAAGACGACAGGAAATAATGTGTTGGATAATGTAAAAGTGGAAGGCAAATGATTCAGTAACTCTTCATGGAATTAGTCACAATTTTCTCAAGTTCCTTATCCTTCCCTTTTACCCAAAATAAATGAATTTTGATCTCATAACCTCCCTTTCCAGTCTGATATAAGATAGCATGTAAAAGGACCGTAACAAAAACATTCCTTCAGAGTGGGAACCAGTACTAAAGCCTCCTTCAGACTCTACCCTCAACTAGATAACAGGGTGGACCCAAATCAAATGCCACACCTCCTCATGGACAGTGTTCCCTCACTGTTAATGACAACATTCCCTTAAAATTACGCAGAGATCCTTCCTCTATTTTATGTTTGGTAAAGTAGTCATACATACAGTTTGATAGCTTTGGAGATTCGACATTAATTTTTTTCTATTTCTCACCTTTATGTGAAATTATGTTCCTGAACATTTAGAATGATGAAGAATTCAGGAAACTCTTCTGATGTTACCTTTTCCATTGTTTTTGAGTAGTGTTCAGAAATACTATGGCTTGCCTTCTAAGATTTCTGCCTGTGGTACTCTCTGTTTGATCTATGCCCCCTCTTTTGTCTGTTCTCTCTCCAGCTCAGTATGATTCTACTCTCAGTACTTCCTCCTCAGCATGGGATCCTGGCCCTCAGCCTTCGCTCGGCAAGTCTAATTTGAGAGTTCACAAGGGTAAACTGCTCCAGACTTTCCAATCCTTACGGGTCCTTGCACTCACTATTGGAGAGAATATAACCACAAGTTTCCATTGGCTAAGAGATTCTCCTTTTCTGAAGGAAATCAGATGCTAGTTCTTCCCTTTATTTGCATATAAACCAGTATCAGTGAGATTGATTCCTGGTAACTTGTGATAAAAGCTTATCACCTAGTTTAATTGCACATGCTGTCCAAGGCATTTGGTTTTATTATCTAGATCTATTTTTTCCATTTCTCCAGAACTATTAACATTATGGCTATTCATCATACTACATTCTGGATCCCCAAAACCAAGAATTTTTTTATGCCAGACATAAATGCTAAGCATACTTTTTCAGTGAATAACTGAGAGGCTGAGGGCTGGTTGGAACAAAGGCTAAAAAGACATGTACTCAATCTTGCCAACTGCCCAGTAAACCCCATTAGCCTTTTAATCTAACCCTAAATTTTAGGTGATTAGGTGAACTTAAATTTCCACAGATATCTTAAATAGGAAGGTAGAATACAATATAGCACTCCACCAAACTACTTAATAGCCTCTCCAAACTGTACGAAGTTTCACGAAAAGGTCGCTCAAGATTGGAATGTACATGTCCATGAATTTCATTTAACTTTTATGTTTCAAAAAGAAAAAAATACTTAGGGCCTTTTCTTTCTGTTACACCTTTGCTTGAAGTCTCCCAAGGGGAGCAATAATGCAGTACACTTAAATAAGCAAGTGTATAAAAGATTAAACAGACACAGGTGGAGCCAAGATGGCGGGTGAGTAGAGCAGCAGAAATCTCCTCGCAAAACCACATATATTTATGAAAATATAACAAAGACAACTCTTCCTAGAAAAGAGACCAGAGAACACAGGACAACATCCAGACCACATCAACACCTGCGAGAACACAGCACCTCACAAAAGGGGGAAGATACAAGCCCCAGACCGGTGGGACCTGAGCGCCCCTCACCCCAGGTCCTGGCGGGAGGAGAGGAGTTGGAGCGGGGAGGGAGAGGGAGCCCAGGTCTGCTAAACACCCTGCCATCTGGACCAGAGCGCAGACACAGTGCATGCATGGGGTCCTGAATACTAGGGAAACAGGACACCAAGACCTGTGAGCAGGTACCTGAGGCCGGTGCCCAGGGACAAAGAAAAGCAAGTGGCTTTTTTTTTTTTTTTTCGAGTGCTTTTTGGAAGTCTTAAAGGGACAGGGACCAGAAAACTGGACAGAAGCATCCCGGTACACTTAGTCCAGAGGCAGGGAATCTGGGGATCTCTAGGCACTCTAACCCCCTGGGAAGCAGGGAACACAGAGGACCCTCACGGAGATAAATACCCTCCCAGCCGCTCCCCCTCCAACACGGCACCACCATATGGGAGCAACAGCCTGAGGCAAGCTACACCCAGAGCAACAGCGGAGATAAACTCCATAGTGGCTGGGCAGGAATCAGAAGCCCTGTCTATATGCAGATACCCAGAACAAGCCACTAGAGGTCACTGTTCTCCCAGGAGAGGAAGGCCACAAAACAACAAGAAGGAAAGAAAGTTCTTCCAGTCATAACTCATGCGAGCTCTGCAAACTATCTCTATCACCATGAAAAAGGCAAAATTACAGGCAGACAAAGATCACAGAGTCAACACCTGACAAGGAGACAGAACTAACCAGTCTTCCTGAAAAAGAAATCAAAATAAAAATCATGAACATGCTAACGGAGATGCAGAGAAATATACAAGAGCTAAGGGATGAACTCCGCAGGGAGATTACAGATGCCCCGAAAGAGATTACAGAAGTGAAACAAACTCTGGAAGGATTTATGAGCAGAATGGATAAGATGCAAGAGGCCATTGATGGAATAGAAACCAGAGAACAGGAACGCATAGAAGCTGACATAGAGAGAGATAAAAGGATCTCCAGGAATGAAACAATATTAACTGTGTGACCAATCCAAAAGGAAAAATATCTACACTATAGGGGTACCAGAAGAAGAAGAGAGAGAAAAGGGATAGAAAGTGTTTTTGAAGAAATAACTGCTGAAAACTTCCCCAAACTGGGGAAGGAAATAATTGAACAGACCACGGAAATACACACAAACCCCAAAAGAAAGGATCCAAAGAGGACAACACCAAGACACATAATAATTAAAATGGCAAAAATCAAGGACAAGGAAAGAGTTTAAAAGGCAGCTAGAGAGAAAAAGGTCACCTATAAAGGAAAACCCATCAGGCTACCATCAGACTTCTCGACAGAAACCTTACATGCCAGAAGAGAATGGCATGATATATTTAATGCAATGAAACAGAAGGGCCTTGAACCAAGGATTCTGTATCCAGCACGATTATCAGTTAAATATGAAGGAGGGATTAAACAATTCCCAGACAAGCAAAAGATGAGGGAATTTGCCTCCCACAAACCACCTCTACACGGTATTTTATAGGGACTGTTCTAGACGGGAGCACTCCTAAAACTAAACACATGTCACCAGACAAAATAAAATCACAGAAAAGAAAGCAGACTAACCAAATACGAACTAAAGACAAAAAATAAAATCAACTACCCACTAAAAGCACTTAAAGGAAACACAAAACAGCACAGAATAAAACAACCAACATATAAAGAGTGGAAGAGGAGGAATAAGATGGGAGAGAAGAAAAGAATCTACAGACAGTGTGTATATAACAGCTCAATAAGTGAGCTAAGATAAGCAGTCAGATACTAAAGAGGCTAACCTTGAACCTTTGGTAGGCACGAATCTAAAGCCTGCAATGGCAATAAGCAGGTAAATTTCAATAGTCACCCGAAATGTAAATGGACTGAATGCACCAATCAAAAGACACAGAGTCTTTTGGATAAAAACGCAAGACCAATCTGTATGCTGCTTACAAAAACTCACCTCAAACCCAAAGACATGCACAGACTAAAAGTCAAGGGATGGAAAAACATATTTCAGGCAAACAACAGAGAGAAGAAAGCAGGGGTTGCAAACCAGTATCAGACAAAATAGACTTCAAAACAAAGAAAGTAACAAGAGA